TAAAATTTTTTGTTTTTCTATACAAATAAGTGAAAAAATATGTAATTTAATAATGATATTATGTTTTTTAGAAAATAATAAAATTTAAATTATAATATTGATTATTGTAAATTAAAATTAGAATCTTGATCAATGTAAACTAAAATTATTATCTTAATTAATTATTATATTTGATATAAAATTTAAACTTCAAAAATAAAATGTTGTAAAAAAATATATGTACTATATTTAATATTTTTCAAAAGTTCAGGGAGCACATGTCAACCACAAAAAGAACTCCGTTGGTTTAATTAACAAAATGTTTGTCAAGTAAACCATTTTAAAACAAAATTGATAGTTTATAGATCATTCTGAAAAAAAAAATTGTTTTTAAATTAAACTGAAATAAATCACATAATTAATAAACAATTTATTAAATTTAACGGTATAATTACATTAGAAAAGAACACAGAAAAGCTTGGATTATGAAGTTAAATTAAAAAATAATAAAAGTGCCAATAATTCAAGTAGCCTAGTGATATAATAAAAATGTAAATGATTTAAATAATTTAATGATAATTTTCTTTACCTATAATAAAATCATAAGACATTGAATTGGAATAAAAAATGAAAGTCTCATTGTGCATATTTAAAGATAATAAGGATATATAAGAAGAAAAAAATTTTAGTTTTTACTAATAACTTAAGTAGAAGAAAGTAAAAAATTATTAATTCGAGTTATATGATATAATAATATGGTAAAACAGAGTTAAAGAAATAAAAAAAAAATTCACCTATCATCATATAATTCAAAATTTTTTATTAAAAAAAAGGGGTTTTCAAGGAACTAAAATAACTTGTCTACCATCCCTCCAAATTTCTGCCAATTTCCCCTCGCAACTTGCAACCTCGAACTAGTTTTGAATGACTTTTTGTTTCATTTTGTAGACATTCAAAAAATTTGAAGCAAATGTGAATGCAACACAGCTTCAAATGGTTTTCTAACTTCTGCTTTCCGACCATAAAGGAAAAGAAACAAAAAAAAGTTTGATGGGGCACAATCTCTTGTTTTGGTTTTAAACTTGTAGGGTTTCAAGGTGCAGCCCTGGTGCCTGCTGGTGATTGGTTAATTGATATATAAGCAGCTTCAACAAACAGGTTATATCAGCATCACAGAATTCCATTATCATCAAAACAACATCATTTCCCAAAGGGTAAAAACCTATACTTCACGTAGAGAAGAAAACATTCAAGAACTTAAACCCTTTTGTAAAACCATGGTGGAGGCAATGCATAATCGTGAAATTCTATAACTGAGAAAGTTTGCAATTAAAGTGCTAAGTGCCAGTATGCAAATTTATGAGAGAAATGAAACCCAAAACTGGAGATACAGAAAAATCTCTCTACTACTCCTGATTCTGTATACAAAGTAAGAGTACTGTACACAATTTATGCCAAAATTGCATCTCCTAAGAGAAGGCGACTATCCTAACCTATGCAGAGTTTTAAGACATGAGTGATCATGTGTGGTACAGGAGAAACTACAAAAATTTGGCTGCTTTAATGCCACAGGGGTCACAGTTCTTAATCTGAGTGACAAATCCGTATAAAAAATACCTCAGAGTGACAAATTCTTATCTGCTTCCATTCTATGCCAAATCAGTGCACTGATTGTTCTGAGCACAGATCAACTGGCTGCTGCCAGGAACCTTAAGGGCATCCAGTCCAAAACTGTCACTTGCACATCCAAATTCGTCTTCATCATTGTCACTGTCAATGTTTCTAGGAGTCACTCGATTCTGATAACTTCTATGCTGTATACAAAGTACATTAAAGTAATAGCTAACCAAGTCTTCTCTTGTCTTATCGTGAAAGTACTTGGATGCATCGGCCCAGAAGCATGCATCTAAAGATTGGGAGGCAGATCGCACCATATTCTTAAATCTCTTTTCTTCCTCAATTGTCCAACGGAGTGACACTTCCTCCCCCATCCGATCAAATTTCCAACGATAGAAAACTCGACCTAGTTCAAGCTTCAATTTCATCCTCTTCTCAGCAATGTGAAATCTAACACATTCAACAGAACCAGGAAATAGACAGGCACATGCTTCAGGTCTTCCTTTACCAATGGAATCCATTTCAGTTAAGGAATCACGTTCTCCAGACCATACACGATTGCCTAACCATTTGATGTCACTATCTGACACCATACCAGTCCATTCAGGGACTTCAGCTTGGAAGGAGAGGCCAACACAAACATGTTGTTTGATGAAATCATCCTCAGATGAGTCAGCAGTCCTATTTGAACATGGCAAGCCCACAACTTGAGGATCCATCTTTGGTATTGCCACTTGCTGAGAGCTTGGGCATGGATTGCAACAAGAGCACAGACAAATTTTTGCTGAAGTAGGAATCCTATAATGGGTTCTTAACCGCTCAGGAGAATGGTGCTCAAGAAATTTTTCCTCATAGATGGATGGATGCATCTTTTGCTTAACCTGCAAGGTTTAAACAGTAAACAGCTTTTAAAATTGGGGTATGAAATAAATTAACATGGGATGAATATGACTGTAGTTTCAGATATAGAAAACTCATTTGTTCTAACTTCTAACTTTTGTTCCATGGTGCTTCTATGAAAACAGAACTGATTATTCCTAACACCAAGCAATAGCACCACCACCCAACTTGGTTACAATGCTGATGGTGCAAGGATGAGATCTTTTCTTTAGCATTAATTCATTGTTGCATACAGTGGGAAACAATGACTCCAAATTGGAGATGTTTAAATAATTTCATCAAAACAAACACCCTAACAAAATTTTGTCTGCATTGATCACAAGCTCACACACTAAATCACAATTAGAAAACAATCATAGCCACTCGATGCATGTGAGATTACCAACTTGCTAGTAGACAATTTACAAAGGTAAAAACCTGAAGGCATCAATATAAGAACTTGCTTATATGTTTGACAGAAATGCCTACCATGAGGATGGAAAAATATAGAGGTTTATGATGCGAAAATAAACATGATGTATAATCTGCACCTGCAAGGAAGGTTGTTCTAGAATTGAGTGACTCTGCCTTTTCTGCATTAAAGCATCCCTTGCCCTCATTAACTGGAACCAAAAGTCAGTGCCTTGATGATTCTCTTTCCACTTGGATGGCTCTGGTATGGGACCAATTGAAGGATCAAAAGGATTTTTTGCAATCTGGATTACCCAGTTCAGCATTCCTGATAAAGAAAGTCTCTTTCTCTTTCGGGAACTGACTTCATTCTTGACAATAATAGGATCCAGAATCGCAGGATTGTCCCCACTTACCTTTTCGTTATCATCACTAAACCTTTTGACAATATCATTGCACAAATTTTGTCTACAATTAATGAAAGGATTTAACCCATTCTCCTTGATGTCTTTAGATACGCGCTTATCATTGTTCTTTTGTTTCAATAGGGCAACATCATTATCTGTTGCCGCTTGGTCCATCCCATTTCCAAAAAACCCTCTAAACTTCTTCTCCAGCTCCAGTGATAAGAACCTTAAACTCCCACAGGGTTCACACGAACCATTTTCAGATACTCTTCCTCTGAATCCCTCCCTCAGCCATTTCTCCACCTCATGCAAATACTTAAAATACACCAATTTAACCGAAGCTGAAACTTTAATATCCAACCCTAATTCTTTTGCCACGGAAGCCCATAACCCATTCTTCGAGACGAAATCATACCCACCTTTCTTTCTCACCACCAAGAAAAGCTTAAACAAATCTGCCAATTTCCCATCACCAAGCATTGCCGGCATGGGCCTAATAGAACCCCTACTAGCCAACTCCTTCAGAAAACAAGAAATAAACAGATCAAAAAGGGATCTTTGCTTTACCTCGAGATCATCAGATTTATCAATACTACCCTTGACAGCAGGATCAATATCTCGGCAACAGCCATATCTCTGACCATGATTCTCAACTCCTAGGTAACCCGAATCAGACCCATTTTCTAGGATTGACCATCCTGCCATGAACTTAGATTTATCCCTACCCTTTTCAGCCTCTCACCCAAAGATCAACAATTTGATTCTTTCTTCTTCCTCTAATCTTCTAAACAGATGAACACAAAGTAAAGTACAAACGACAAAAAGGGAAGAAGGGGAGGAAAGGAAACGAAGAAGAAATCAAGAAGCAGATAAAAATCTTGAAGTTTAGAAAAACATAGCTCCGGGCATAAGGAAGATTGAATCTTTGCCCTGATATATCTTGAAAGATATCATCTTACCTCATTTTATTGTTGGCGGCGTATCGGGTCTTGTCCCAAAGCCGGCAAACTTGAAACCACGGAGAGGAAGAGATGGACAATGGGAACAAATTCAGGTTGGTGTCTAGAAATTTGAGATAACAATTTTTCAAGACATTAGTGGGAGCCAGGTGCCTGCTTAAAATATGGTTAAAATGGTTTATGTCTAGACATGATTATGTGGAGTAAATACAGGAACTAGAGAAATTAGGATGAGTTTCACCAGAACAATTGAAAAGGTAGATGAGTTTCACAAGGAAAAAAAAACATGGGGAAAAAGGGGAGGGGAATTCAACTATGAATTCAATTTATCTGTAAATTTATTGTTAATTCAGCCTACATATCCAATAAATCCGATAAAAAGCATTTTTTAGAGTCATAAATTTTAAGAACTAGCAGTAAAAATAAAAGAAAAAAATGTAAATAGAGATATAAATTTTTTAAGTTTTTAAAATCAAATAAGAAATGTTTATTTTTTTTTATTTAAAGATATAAATTTTAATTGTTGTTTATTACATCATCATAATTCAATAATTTAAAAAAAAAAGAAAACAAAGTTCATATTTTTATTTTTAAAAATAAAAATTTATATTTGCAAACCCAATAAGTTTTATCATTTTTTTATGGTAATAAGTTTTACCCAATAAGGTTTGTCCTTATAAAAAGGTAAATGTATTCGTAATAATGTCTGATGATATAATCTAGAAAAAAAAAAAATGATAGTTACCCTTCCATTTATGTGGAGTATAAAATTTTAATTATTCCGCCGACATTCAAGGAAGAACTTAATTACTTCGTATAGCATTTTGCTTTCTTCCCCGCATTTTGCATTTTTAGGAAAAGGGCAATTTCCAAGGCCAAATTAATTAATGTGTCAAAGACCAGTACTCTCAATTTCTCATGCATTAAACTTATATTTATTTTAGCAAAGCGGAAAGAATTTGTTTTTTTTTTTTTAAATAAGATTTTAAATTTAAATTTTGTGAATAAAAAAATAAATAATAATAAAACATATATTTATTTTATATGTTGAAATGACATTAATTGTATCAGCATGTTGCCGGTAGTTTGAGTTTTTTTTTTTTTTTTCAAATCACTTGGAATTAGCATTAAAATTATTTTTATTTTTTTAAAATATATTATGTGAGAAATACATCTTTAAAATCATCTAATAAGAATTCAATCTCAGCATGCACAAAAACTAACCTAAAAACAATTTGATTTATTTTTAATTATATAATTTAACAAAATATTTACCCATACAAAATCATTGAAAATAAAAATACGATAAATAATTTTATATGACTTTACCTTAAGAACAATTTGATTTATTATTAATTATATAATTTAACAAAAAAAATACTTATATTTTTAATCATAAGTTTAAAATTTAATCTCTAATTTTTACGAATTTTCCTTTTAAAAGAACAATTGGAATTAAATTTAAGTATTAAACGTTTCTTTGCAGATCAAAATAAGATGGAAAAGTTATTTTTATTATACTAAAAGAAAATAAAATATTTACCCATACAAAATCATTGAAAATAAATCATTAGCAAACATTGATGTGAAAAATCTAACAATCATAAACATGAAACAGTAACGTACACAAAATGTCAATTCCTAAACAACTTCATAAAAGCCATGAAATTGATTATTACTACAACCACATGCCATTTATATGATGAAATATAAGTATGAGGAAGCATTGCTTCCAAAACTACAAGTTTCGTAGACACTTGCTGCATCGACACAGAATGTAAAGGCATTATATTTCCTGTATTACTCCTATGGAATTGACAATTAATAACTAAATGATATGATGATCTTCTAAACCTTATGGATGAAAAATAGTTAATGAGTATTAGCCTTCTTAAATGGCAGCAAACCAGTTTCTGTTTACCTTTTCTTGCAATTGCTTTCTCCTTTTTCGTTGTCTTTCAAAATTTTCAAGTTTAAAGGGATATGAATGCACAAAGATATTATGCACTAGGAAAGGACAAGACTTATAAAGGGGGAAAAAAAAAGAAAGGGATAAGGAAGAAAAAGGGGGTGGGGGAAGGAAAAGAAAAGTAGAAAAACAAAACCAAAACCATGGCCAAATCTGCAACAGCCACTAGAAACAGGAAATGGTAAAAGAAACGTCAAGAAAGTCTTTCTCTCATGCACCGTAAAGTAAGCTTTGCTTTCAACCTTGGTTTGGAGCAGCTAATTTAACTCCCAACAGACAGCTACTTATCAGTAAGGAGTGTTGATTATCACTTCCTGGAGCACAAGATTTCAAAACCCTTGTTAATTTTTATGATAATCCATGATATCAAAATCATATAGTATGAAGATTTTTTTCTGAGACAAACCTGGTCGCACACGGGACAGGTGTCACTTCTTTCCATCCATTCAAGGATACATGCAAGATGAAAGTGATGGTCACATTTTGTGGTGATTTTGGGATTCTCTGCATCATACTCTGCAAGGAAAAACAGAAAAAGGGTCTTTCCTCAAAATTTCTAAAAGATGAGCAATGTTCATTTTTTTTTTGTTTTCACCATTGTAAGTCCTTCCATATCTCGCCAAGTAAGAGATATTACCTTCCAAACAGATTGGGCATACATCCTCCTCCTCAGTTGCAGATACAATGCTTTCAGCTGACTTTGAAAGCTCAACTTCTAACTTCTTTAGCAGTTCACTTTCAACATTAGACTGTGCTTTGCAGTCTAATTCATTCAACCCCTCAGACTCAGTTGACATATTTTGAGCATTGACATCTATTGCATCCTGACCAGAATCAGAATTTGTTGTTTGCACTAGTGCATTTCTCTTACTATTATGAATTTCTTGAGCAACTGAACCAGTTTGAGAAGGCACTAAACCCACGTCAAATGGCAGAGGAGCAGGAGGTGGTCTATAAGCATCTGGGATTGATGTGTCCAGATTGGTATCAACCAGGAGTCCAGTAGAGAGGCCAGAGCTAGCACCATGTTGAGACGATAAACGTACATGTTCTTCTGATGCTCTTGGGTACTGTCAAGAAAAAGTAATTCCACACCAAGAAGAGAAATGGTAAATGCAATCAATACCAACCAAGACAGTTCAATTTTGAAACCTTCATATGAGATAATTCCAACCAATTTTATAAAACTGAATGGTGGTGGTATACAGGAAAGCAAGTAAAATTTTCATTTCAGTTATGTCTACAGTTTGACTCATTTTTACAATTGACCTGAATTGACATCAGGTACATAAGCAACTTGCTAATGGTTTTAAAAGGACTAACTTCAAGAACAACTAAATTACAATTGATATCATCAGCAGTGCCCAGTTATTAGCAGAAAGAACAAGAAATGGTCCAATTGCAGCTTACAGGAATGGCGGATGACAACTCATGTTCCTGCACAATGAAAGGCCTTACTAAGAGCTGTAAGAAGAGGGAATTTGAGCAAGATTCTTTTGTTGGTAAATGATTTCATAGAGATTACCATTAATTAGAGAGTTTTTTTCCCCTAATCTTTTGCATACGTTTTTCCAAGGAACGAAAAATAGTGGAGGCAGCAAACAATGGAAGCTAAAAGATTGCAGAAAATAATTGATGCCAAGGAAAAAATTATACTAACATAATAGTATGCAGGTGTATTGTTTAGTTCAACTCCTCTAGAAGCACAGCAACAACAACCTCCCATTTCCTCTTATCTCCACCATTCATCTCAAACAATGGGTACAAACTGCATCACAATCCCGCACCAGGAAAAGGCGACAAACTCTGTTAAACAGAAAGAATGTTCAAGTCACTTAAAGCTGTAATACAGAGACACAGTAAGCATGGAAACATAAAACTGTCTTAAAGAATATGGCAAAAAATGATACCATACAATGATGCGCTTTGCTTTACATTACATATAAAACACAGTTTCTGATAGAAAGTTCTGGGAAAATGATTAATATAAAAAAGATCAAAACGGAAAATAAGAAACCAGCTTGAACAACTGAAACTAAGTATTTCAAACAGTCAAAGTTATGTCTACAACCTCTCAGTTCATACAATTTAACATTAAAAAGCATTAAAACTATATTCCAAGAATTGAAAAGAAAAAAACAAAATTAAAACAAGAACCTCCCCAATTCAAATTCTAACAAATTCATAGCGGCTGCAGGCTGTACTTTCAAGCACAAAAAACATATACAGAGAATTCATATATCATTCCAATCCAACAGAAATATACATGCTTACTAACTTCAACTGATCCTTAATTGATTCATGATCGATCTCGAATACCTCAGCAGAGATTCAATACGGATGAAGTCTCACTAGTAAAATGAATATCAAACAGATTATAATTGGAAAAAAAAAAAAAAACAAGTAAAATTTTGCAAAAGATAAAGAAGAATCATCTTCAGTTATTTCTCATCAAGAACTAGCATGTGATTACAATAGGCTATGAAACACAAAAGCATTAATCACCACGAATTCAACGATCCAAGCGCAAAAAGGAGAGCAAAACGATTAACATATGTTCAATAAAAATCACAGGAAGAGAGGAACCACCATGGTTGAAAATTCAAACAGCGAAAACCTCGACGAATTCATACACAGACGGAATCGGAGAAACGAACGAAGGAAATAAAGTTGCAGAGTGGAGCCGGAGACGATACCTGAGGGATGAGAATCGGAGAAATGGAAGTCAGTTTTGGAGTTTTCAGCTTTTTTCAGGCACTGTTGCTATGGGCGATTGCTTGTTTTCGTGTGCTGGAACGGCTCTTCACTCAAACTGGAAGACTCTTTTGTATTAAAATAATAAATAAAATGTGTTTATCCGATTACTGCTACTTAAATAATTTAAAGGCAAAATCATAAGTTAAGCTCTTGAACTAATCTCAGAATCGCTATTAAGTCATTAGATTTTAATTGATTCATATAAACCCTTAAACTCTGCGATCAAAGCAATTAAGCCCTTCTTCTTACGCGCCAACTTAACTGCTGTTTGAGACTCCAAAACTAACTTCCATTTCTTAAAAAAATAGTAAGGGCGTATAAGCATTTCGAAAGTTTTTTTAAAAAATAGTATCACTTAAAATAATAAATTTATAATTATATGATATGATATATGATATTAAATAAATATAATAAAAAAAATATATATTAGTTTTAATTTTTAAAATAAATTAAAGTTTTAAATTTAAAATAAGGGTTTATATGCATCAATTAAAGTTTAAGAACTTAGTAGCGATTATGGGGTTAGTTCAGGGACTTAACTTATGGTTTTGCCTAATTTAAATAGTTTAGTTTAGCAATAATCTCTCTTCTGTTTAAGGAAGGACTTTTTGAGTTTGTAGGGTATGATTATGATATATATAGATGAAACGCGTTAAGAAATAAGATAGGATATTTTAAAATAAAAAAAGTTGTCTTTATCCACTTAAAAATTACAGCAAGGTTAATTATATTTCTTTAAAAAATAAGATATTTGATAAAAAAAAAAAAAAAAACTTGTTAAGAGGTTGTTTGAATTGGCTGTTTTGATATAATTAATAATTGATGGTTAATGTTTCACAATTGATAATTGTTGTTATTTATAAATTAAAATATTTGAACCATTTAATTAATACAAATAATTGATAGTTGCTCTCTAATATCTAAAATAAATACCTTTAAAACTTTTCTAATAAAGGGAATGACTTTTTTTTTGTTAATTAAGATTATCATTTTTAAAAAACTTCTATGAAGAGTATATTTTACTTTGATTGAATTTCAATCAATAAT